AATTAATGTAGCTTTTAAGGATGAAGGAAAGGCCACCTTAACTAAGACTAAAGTGAGTTTATCCTTTGCTTTGATTCTAGACTTGTAGTTTGTCATTTGTTTGGAGCATTGAATAACATACCAAGAAAGCAAGAATATGCACACTAATTAAATCCAAGACACGTCAATGGGTTTTAGACCTGAAGAGAATATCAAATGACAATTTAGTGGACTTTTTGGTCAAGCGTCAAAATGAGTAGGTCGGTCCGGATCAACATTCTTTAGGCCTTGTTTGAGCCACATTATTTTTTTCATTCTCATTTTTCTACTCATTTTTAACCACACATTCTTCAATAAAATAATATTTTTCATCACATCAATATTTTTTCCTTCTTTTTCAACCACATATTCCTCATCACATAAAAAATACATTCTTGGCTAAAAAATGTGTAACAAACATGGACTTCATAATGAAAAATAAACATTATACATAATAATTTAATACACAANAACATGCAATTTTAGGAGTGATGCTTCCACTTTTGAGCACCTGTTTGAGCCACATTAAAATTTTCATTTTCATTATTCTACTCATTTTCAACCACACATTTTTCAATAAAATAATATTTTTCATCACATCAATATTTTTTCCTTCTTTTTCAACCACATATTCACAATCACATCAACAGTAAAAATGCATTCATTTTTCAAAAATGTGCACCATAATCTGGCTCATTGTGGCCTTGAATAGTACATTCTAAAAAAATTGATTGGGCTAGGACCAGACTCACCAATATTGCAAGTTGGGTCGGTCCAATCTATCTTTTTTATTCATTACCAACACAATCCGTTCATTATGGCATATCAATCCTTATACTGACCTTGTTCGATTCAATTTTTCAGCAATGTAGATCATTTCGGACACGAGCAGCACAACCCATTTTGACACAACTTACTCCTAGCATAGATTCGTCTCTATTATTCAATAAAACGAAGTGGTACTATTGGTTTGAGTGGCCATCCAAGTTTTACTATTAACACTTTTTTATATACTTACACTTATATAACTCCTAAAACCTCTAGTTCTTGAGTCATGTA